AAGGGATTCGACCTCAACATCCTGAATATGAGCCAATCACGCCAAACAATCATGCCCCACCAATTTCTTACCTCGCACAAAAGATATGACCTTAGCTAACTTAGGCTTGCACCCCCTTCCCACTTTAACCTTTCCCTACCCGGGATCTCTAGAGTTACTGACTTAGCATTACCATTAAGCACAACTAATAGGGGGGACAACCAAGTCATGCCTAAGATTATATCAAGTCAGTCATATCCAACATAACCAAATCAACCAAAGTCTGAAAATACATAAACACACAAGACAAATACGATACACATGGGTGACTATGACATACTCTTCAACTAGAGTAGAAACAATAGATGGGGGTATCAAGTATATCACAAATCATATCAATTTCTGAGACAAATCGCACGGACACATAATAATAAGTATAACCCGGATCAAACAACACATTAACCATCCGGTCACAAACAATAATAGTACATATGATCACTGCATCTGACGCCTCAACCTCGGTCTTCCCCGAAAGGCATGAAACTGAGCCATGTCATCTCGACGGGAAACCTCTTTGCCTGGCTGCACTTCTCCTCTACCTGCATTACCATTTCCCCAGCCTCCACGTCCTTGCTGATTTCCTCCTCATATGCCCATGTTCTCCATAATTTTAACACACTTTATAACTTATATTCAATTGCTGAACACTGGATTAGATCGCGGAGGTTAGTGCAGGTACCATTTGGGGTCCATAATTATAACTAGGGGAAAATAGGGGAAACATGGTTGAGATTCTGTCTCGCCCTGTCCAGCTCTGGCGGGAGAAATCCTGCACTGGCGGTCTCGCCATGGCGGGGAAAATCCCGCCCCAGCGGCCCTGACGGAAACAAAACCCCTGCCAACAATTTCTGGGGTTCCTTTCTTTTCTATATTTCCCTTTATCTAGGACAATCATTGTCTACCCCCCGATCAATCAAACGAAGTACGCGCTTTAGAATCCCTTTACATTGTTTCAACACTACCACACATATATCCCTAGGATACACCCAGACTTTCACACGATTATCAGTTGGTCGCAACGCACGTCCAAATTTCTCGCTTACAAACCACATCGTAATTTACCTAAGAGCCTTGCACCTAATCTCGTGATGACTTTCTTTTCACAATAAGTTTCACGACACTCAAACAGTTACCATTTGCAGACAAGTCTAAATTATTTAATTAGTTCTTTTAATGGACGACCATTATTGATCATCTATGCCTTATACGACCTCTAAGGCCAGATACCAATTGGAACCTTCTCAGTTCCAATTAACTTGCTTGTGTCCCTTCAGCCGTGACTACGACGTCTAGTTCACTTCGTTGAGATACCAATTGGAATCGGGAGATACCAATTGGACTCAACTTGTACCACAAGCGATAATAGTTGCTAGCAATCCCCACAAAACTGCTAATTTCAATCATAGAACTTGGTCAAACCGAATTCTTAACCGCCTCAATCTTTAACTGATGGTAACCAGACCTTAAATCAATCGTGGAGAAAATCGATTCACCTTGCAATTGGTCAAAAAAGTCATCTATCTGAGGTAACAAATACTTATTTTGAATGGTGACCCTATTCAATTGACGGTGGTCTATACACCTCCTCTTGCTAGTGATGGTGTTACCACTTATGTTGCTCTAATTCGGACCATAGAGTGAAGGAGGAAAGATACCAATTTGTATCCCCAAATACCAATTAGATTCAAGTCATAGCACGAATGAGTAAAAAGAAATGAGTTTTTCCTAAAGTCCTATAGCCTCTCGAAGAAAAGTAAGGACGTCTTCGTACCGTTCCGCAATACTCTACTAGACTTGTTTTGGTACAATAAGATCAACGAACCTAGGGCTCTGATACCAACTTTGTCACGACCCAGACCATCGTGATTGACACCCACGCTAACCCTCCAGTGGGAGAACCACTACTACAACCCAAACAAAGCAACTAAACCAAAAACTAAAACATTTAAGGATACGAAAACAAGAATAATAGCTAAAACTGAAGTTCCCATAAACTTCCAAAAGAACTAACAACTAACAATGCGGAAAATACACATAGAACCTGAAAGTCAATGTACCAAAACATCTAATAATGAACCAAAAGTCTAAACAAAAAGGAATACAACCCCAAGCTAATGAACTAATAACTAACTAGAAAAGTCTAAGTCCGAAATGTGGACACAGACGAGAGAGAGAACTCATGGAAGCCCGGAAGAAATGGCTCACCTTTGAATTTGAACGATCACTGATCTTCTTAGCGAGGTCTGTCAGTAGCCGCTTGAAGATGCCCTGTACTCAACAAAAAAAGAGCAAGTGCAGTATCAGTACACAACCAAGTGTACTGGTAGGATCATGCGGCTATCCCACTAAGTGTAACATACATAAATCAATATAACAATATAATCACATGCATATATCGAACAGATACAATATTATCAACATTTACGAACAACGAACAACGAACAACGAACATTTCTGAAGATACACAATTATGACAAGTCATTAGTCCTCTCATGGAACCCAAACCCAAACAGTTAGCATACCGGAACGTGGTACCCGATCCAAAGTTTATGCCGGAACGTAGCAATCGATCCCATATTTATGTCGGAACGTGGCAACCGATCCAAGTTAGTGTGTCGAAACGCAACACCCGATCCATTCAACAAGCAACAATCACAATCACAAAGTACATTCTCATAATCATACAATCAAGTCATGATTCAATGTCATTCAACAATCATATATCCTCATTTACAACAAGTGTGATCAATAATGCAACATTCACATACATATATGTATCATAATGAAGCAAGACAAACATACATCACACAATCATAGAATCACAACCATCACCTACCTCGAAACAAGCTTGAAACCCTAAGAAACTTGATCCTTCCCTTTCCGGATTTGTTTCTCTTGTTCTTGGTCTACAAACAATCAATATAATACGGGAATCAATAAACAATTACTATTTACCCAAATTACTAACAATTTTATGAACCCTAGATCATACCCATGATCCCAAGTATCCAAATTAGGGCTGTTTACACCATAGGTTCTAGATCAAAACCCTCTTCCATCGATAATTACTCATTAAGAGTACGTTCTACGGATCTAAATAAATGGAATTGGAGAGTTAGAATCTTACCTTTAGCCTCAAGAATGGTGGAAAACCGTCAAGAAAAGACCTGGGTTCGTTCCTTAGCTCTCAAATTTGAAAATTATGGAATAAAACATTTTTGGGGTTTATTTACTACTTTAAGTAGCGTCTGGCCCGCCACAACAGCACTAGCCCGCTACAGCGGCCCCGCCCTGGCGACCAAAACCACCGTCAAAGCGGCTTGCACGAAACAGTGGAACTATTTAAAGAATTCCAAAACCCCCATTTCACAACACGCCTTCTACCAACGACACTCAGAAACTACCTATTCATGCCAATGTCAGTTTCGGGAGTTCTACTCACCCGAATTCAATTCCGTAAAGTCGTACGGATTCCTTAACGCGTTAGCTATCTACTCATGTAATCAAAATCATAATTAGATCACCCGATTGTTACCATATTTCCCTACACCTTAATGACTCTGATTTCGTCCAAATCTGGACTAGATTGGAAAATTTCAAGTTACTACAAAAAAGTTTTCCGACCAAAAATTGTTTCCCGTTGGATTTTCTATAACGATGGCACCCGGTCGTTACAGATTCACCTTTACTATTCCCTCTATTTTACTTGGTTTGTCTTAAACGAATGTCACTTTCTAACTTTTAGTAACTTTTACAACCAACATCCTACAAGACATATTTAAGGCTAAAATATTCAAAGAACATTTGAATTCAAATAATACTTTAGTTTAAGACTACAAATTAATTAAAATCAAACCATAAGACACCTAAAGTAAAATTTAGGGAGTAATTTTTATCATTCATTTTCTGTAAGTAGCATTACTGAATGCTCTCATACACCTACCTATGAACTCAGTGTCCATATTGAGGTTTGCTCCACCATCATCTCAAAGATGTGTGATTTATCAAAAATATTGATGTTTGTCCCACCATCGCTCAAGGTTGCACGCAAATTGACTGTGATACCATCTGTATCGGCCCCCCAACTAGTGATACTGTTCGATTTGGATCTAAGCTTGGACAACCTTAAAATTTGTCATTAATTAGGGGATACACTTTTTCCTTGTATATGCAACATCTTTTGTTTTTTTCGATTGTGATTTAGTAAGGGTGACACATACACAATTCCCTTTATGGCGTCCTCGCTGAGGGTTTCCCCATTATAATCTTAAAAATGTGATATTCGCCTAAACTCAGTTGAACGCTGAAGTTTGCCCAATCATTGTCCAACTACATGTTGAGTTGCTTTGATATTATTTATAAAGGCTCAACCCACTACCTATTGTAGTCTGCTTTTAACCTAGGCTTGTGCGATTTTAAAACACGTCACAAAGGTCTGAAACTTGTTTTCTTATATACCCAACATCTTATTAGCATTTTGTCGACATAGAAAAACTTGTTTTCTTATATACCCAACATCTCATCATCATTAGAATTTGTCTAATTAATGTATCACAATTACATTGAATCTCATTATCTACTCCAAATAAGAGAAAAATTCATAATTATTTTACGAGAATGGAAGCAATAATATACAGAACTAGAAAAATGGAAAACTTTTTTGTCAAATAATTAATAATATACATATATTAGGGAATAACTTTTTGATTTCCTTTTCCATCTTGAGGACCATGTTGTCTAAATTATGCTGCTTACGATTCCAGGTGGATAAGCCAAATATCATGTCTTTTTTTGTGTAAATAATTGTAATGATCCAAAATGCTTTGGATATTTTACGTACACACTCACTTTTAATCCCTTATATATAGCTTCATTTAAGTTCAAATTTCTCAAAACATATCTTCCTTCAATCATCAAGAAAGAAACATTATAACAGCTTTTTTTTTCCGAACTTGTTGAATATGGAAAGAGTGATGAAGTTGGGAGGAGAAAGTCCAGTGGTGATTTTCACTAAGAGTAATTGTTGCATATCTCACAGCATTGAAACCCTAATTCGTAGTTTTGGTGCAAATCCTACGATTTACGAGCTTGATGAACTTCCAAATGGGATGGAAATGGAGAAAGCATTGGTTGAATTAGGGTGTAAGCCTAGTGTGCCAGCAGTGTTCATTGGGAAAGAATTAGTTGGTGGTTCAAATGAGATAATGAGCCTTAATTTGAGGGGCAATAAGCTCAAGCAATTGCTTATAAGGGCTAAAGCCATTTGGGTATAATTATAATAAAACTATATATTTGTGATCGTTTAGAAAAATAGATAGCTAGCTAGCCAGTTATTGAATATTTAATCTACTGGTAGCTAGTTGTTGTTCTTCTCTTTTCTCCCATTTAATTTATACTTTATGTATTTGTTAACTGATTTTAAGAAATAATATTATTAGTATCTCTACTGATCACTTAATTACTACATCTGTGCTTAATTTCTAAAGATCCAAAGAGTGTAAACTTTGATTGAATCAAGATCGTCTATTTGAATTGACTTATTTTAAGTGGTGTTAAATCAAAATAACTTTATTTGAGCATTTAAAATCTTTTATAAAACAATGCATGTAATGTTTTTATAAATTCAATAAAATCTTGAATAACTGTGTGAATAAAAGGCAGGGCCGTCTTAATCCCTAAGCCACAAAAGCCATCGCTTGGGGCCCCATATATTTTGGGGGCCCCATTTAAAAAGAAACAATTATTTATATATGTTATTTTTAAAATAAATAAATTATATGTACTATGAGTGTTATGGTTTCTACCAAGGAAATTGCATATGAGATGAAAATAAACCTGAATTTCGTAAGAAACAATTTGATGAAAATAAGGATAGCGAAATCACAAAGTCCCTTGAAGAATCTTTTAGAGTTTATTGCTTTATATATGTAGAATAGATCAAACTATTTTTTCACTTCAAAATAGTTTTTGACCAATTTAAGCATATGAAAATATTTTTGATTTCTCATTTAATGGTAAAATATTGAGATCACTAGATGATGAGAATTTAAAAAAATACTGTCTTAACCTTGAACTTTCTTTAACACGTAATAGTTATTAAGATATTGATGGTTTAGATTTATGTTTTAAATTTAAAGTGTGAAGAGAAATAATACAAGTAGAAGGTAATGATCTAATGAAAATACTCAATCAAATAAAAAGACTTGATTCTTTTTCAAATACACATATTGCTTATAGATTAATGTTAACAGTTCCTGTAACTATTGCCTCAGCCGAAATAAGTTTTTTCGTAATTAAAATTGATTAAATCTTCTTTAAGATCAACAATGTCCCAAGAGAGATTGAATTAGTTAACTATATTATCATTCGAAAATGAATTATTAACACAAATCGATTATAAAATAGTACCTAATGACTTCGCATCTAAAATAGCTAGAAAATTAGATTTTAAATAAAAGTTATATGATGAAAATAATAATATTAGGGCCCCTCTCTTGAATTTCGCTTTAGGCCCCCAATGTTGTTGAGTCGGCCTTGATAAAAGGCTTAGGAGTTAGGACTACGATAGTCGATTGTCCTTATCCTTAAAAGTCCAAAAAATAATTCAGTAAGGATAGAAGGGAACTTGAAAACTCGATCTTGCCTTTCAGATCACCATTAGTCTCATCTATCATTTAAAGTCTTTAACTTTCCTTTCGAAGATTTGAGATGTATTTCAGATTTTAAAAATGTATTAGATGCTGCTCTTTATACTTATGCCACTAGATTTTAAGATATTCTTTGTTGTTGTTTCTATCATTTGTGGCATGACTTAATTCCCTTTGGGAGTCTCGTATATGTATTTCTTTCGACTTACATACCATTTTGAAATTCTCGGGGTGTGCGCCATCATGACCTCAGTTTTTTGGTCGTGACATCAACTATCTCATATTGTTGTGGCTGTTCTATAATATTCTATATGGTACCATGTAAACCGTCATTCCAAACAATAGTTTTATACATTGGATGAATATTGTTAAAGTGTGTGACCATCTCATCTAAAAGCTTAAAAACTTAAACTGTTAGAGAAGACACATTTTTATTATTTAATTATGTTCTCAACCGATATGAAATATGTGGCCTTTCGAGATAACAATGACCCTTTTCTCTTCCTTGAGCCATTTTAAGTATTAGCCAAATTAAAATTCCTTCCATTTGTACACTATGCATGCGCATGTCCATAAGATATGTTCTGATCAAGATTTTCATTTGACAACATCTAAAAGATTGATGCGAATATATATGATACTATTCAATTAGTTGGATTTCTTTATTAAGCTTACTAAATAAACATTTGGTGACAATAAACTTTTTCTTCTAATATTTATTGTATTGCCACTATATTTAATGGCAATTGAGGTGAGTTATTACATTCGGATTTGCTAAAGTCTTTAGCAATATCTATATAGAATATTGGTAATTATAAGTACTCATATTAATTATTTGTCGATAAATAATATATATATATATATATATATCTAATTATATTTATAATAGCTAAGCTTGACTTAAAAGTTGGTCAAACCTACTTTTAAGTTAGTTTTTGATTTCTGAAAGTATTTGTCAAATATAAAAAATAACTTAAAGAAGTAAAAAATGACTTAAAATAAGTTTAAAATGACTTAAAATAAGTCAAAAATAAAAAATAGGTATTTATTTTTTAACTTAATTTCAATTTGATTTTTTATTTTTGACTTAAAAATTATTTTTAAATCAATCCAAACAGCTCTAGCTCTAAATAATTGCCACACAATTTTGATCTATTATAATGGCTGCCACTATAAAGATATGTTACAATGGGAAAAAGTATATTCCGCGTGCATGGATATGGCACAATGGCATATCAAGCTACAATAAAATTGTAGAAAAGGTATAATATAGTACAATATAACTACTTTAAATTTCTTTATTAACATTTTCACCATTATTATTCTTTTTTAATTTTTTTTTATCGCTGGGCGAGATCTTTATATTGATGAATAAAATTACAATGCTAATATGAATAAAATTACAAAGCTAATTAGGGGAGCTTAAGCTCGATCCACTGTTCCAAATCGCAACCAATAACTGCTTTGCAAAAACTAAAATTCTGGCAAAAACTATACAAGTTTTGCACAAATTTACAAGTCTAGGGTGATAGATAAAATTAGCTATAAAATCTCAAATGGATCAGTTTTATACAAAATAATTCTTCCTCTGGTTATGCCTTAGGAACTCTATTTATATGAGATCAAGTTTGTAAGGTCGGATGACTATCGATGGTAGGTGAGCATAATTAGAGAGTTGGCTATTTTCACCATTATTATACTGCAAGTACGGAAGTAAAAGGGAAAAATCCACTTGGAGTCAATTACAAAGATTTTGTGGGGAGTAACTTTTTTGATTTTCTTATCATGCTTGAGGGCCATGTTGTCTACACTGTGCTGCTTTAGATAATTAGCCAAATCATCCACTACATTATATATCATTTGTTTTACTACATTATATATCAGTAGTTTTTTACAAACTAAATTGGAATAAGTCATGCCTTTATGGGAAATTTTGTTTGTCAACTTTTTCCACACACCCATACACCCCCCACCTTTTTAGCCCCCTTATAGATTCAAGTTAAGATTTCTCAAACACTCTGATCCTTCAAGAAAACACTAGCAATTAGCAAAGCATATATATTACACTTTATTCATATAGTTGAAATTTTTGAATATGGATGTAATTATTTAAAATTTATTAAATAATTCAAATAATACTAAATTCATGAATATATTAGTCCAAATGAATATTGTGGATTAATATAATCGATTTAATTATTTAAATTCAATAAATATGGATTTAATTAAAACCCGCTCCATAAAGCCCATATGCCATGTCACTTAAATTTGATTAGGCCGAAGGGAATCCTATTCCTACCAAGAATTCTAACAAGAAGCTAGAGAAAGCTCATGGATCAAAAGCCACAAATTTCTCTACAAACTAGAAGTTGAAGAATTCATGTGTTCAAGTTCAAGATTAAGTTTAAGATCAAGATCAAGAATGATCAAAATCAAGATCACCGGATTCAAGATCTAGCTTGAAGCCCTTGAATTCAACTAGAAGTCAAGATCAAAATAAAGTTCAAGTTCATCGAAGATTCAAGAACAAGCTCTAAAGGCCCTTGAATCCAAGATCAAGTTCAAGATCAAGATCATCAAGTTCAAGTCCATATCAAGTTCATCAAATCCACAAATCAAGATCAAGACTACAAGATTTAAGATCAAGCTCGAAGCCCTTGAATTCAAAGTAGAAGTCAAGATCAAGATCAAGTTCAAGACAAATTCAAGATCAAGCTTGAAGCCCTTGAATTCAACTAGAAGTCAAGATCAAGTTCAAGCCCATATCAAGTTCATCAAATCCACAAATCAAGATCAAGACTACAAGATCTAAGATCAAGCTCGAAGCCCTTGAATTCAAACTAGAAGTCAAGATCAAGATAAATTAAAGTTCAAGTTCATCGAAGATTCATGAACAAACTCCAAAGCCCTTGAATCCAAGATCAAAATCAAGTTCAAGTTAAAGTCGAATTCAAGATCAAGCTCAAGAGCCCTTGAATTTATATTTGAAAATAAGAATTCAGAGGAATCATAGAGATTGTAACACTCGGACTTTAAATCAATAAAACAATTGTTGCATAATTTTCCGTTCTTGATTATTATTTTCTTGACGCGAATTTTACTGTCTACAATGGAAAGAGTGATGAAGTTGGGAGCAGAAAGTCCAGTGGTAATTTTCACCAAGAGTAGTTGTTGCATGTCTCACAACATTGAAACCCTACAGTTTACGAGCTTGATGAACTTCCAAATGGGATGGAAATAGAGAACGCTTTGGTTAAATTAGGGTGTAAGCCTAGTGTGCCAACTGTGTTCGGAATTAGTTGGTGGTTCTAATGAGATAATGAGCCTTAATTTGAGGGGCAATAAGCTCAAGCAATTGCTTATAAGGGCTAATGCAATTTGGGTATAACACTATTATATATACTTTCTGTATTTTGTAAACTGATATTTAGTAATAATATATAAACACCTTTATGTTATACATATTTTGTGCTTAGTTTCTTCTTGTGTACTGTGATTTTCTAGACTCAAATTATAACAAGTTACACTAAAGTAATTATAAATATTACTACTACACAAATTTCAATGGCAATAAAAATACGTCACATTAACATAGAGTGATAAAACTTTTACCAGCAGTTTGAAGT